CATAAAAATTTCTGAACTGATGATCTATGTAAACACCACCTGATTGGTGTAGACTCTAGGGTTTGATATTCTCTACACTGTAATTATATCTCGACATCTATTAATGATTAGGTCTCAATTACACAATAGCTCAAGTTACTATTTCTATACGCCCTAATAACGTTTCCCACATTCTACACATATAGCCCAAAAATCCGTTGGCATGGTTAACGGACGAGCAAGCTGTATTTTTCTTTTCAATTTAATAGTAGAGATTTGGCTTAAAATATTAACGTCGTATACTTTAACTACCAACTCAATTTGGTTCTGCTGTAAATGGAAATTATATTGTCTATTTTTGTTCCAGTATTATAATTCCGATAGTGTAGGTCGTTACTATAATTTACACGGATTCTTTTCGAGCTTGGAGAGCTATAACATAGATTAGTTGTCGTGATGTAATGCTTACGGTAGTTTTACAAGTAAAGTAGGTTTTCATTTTTATATTTCGTTTCTATGCGAAGGTAGAAACGAGCTTCGGTAACGCCCAATGACACCGATTATTATTTACGAGCGAATTTTTCGATGTTACGTAAATTATGTTCCACATCGAACAATGTTCGGTATATCAAAACAAACAAAAAAATTATAACGGTTTAGTTTAGACGCCTGCGATTTACCGTTGACATTGACGCCCTTGCGAAAATAAGATTCATCATTGCCATATTCGCATAACTAAGTTCTCCTTAAACATTTTGTCATATATGGAAAATAGTTACTGACAAATATTTTAGTGGTTTACAGTTTAGTACGCATAAATTTGGATACATTCCTTTGAAATCAGTATAAAGGGTGTAATAACCTTTTCTAATGAATTTATTATGATCATTATGCTTCGTTGGTTATAGCGTTGTTTACTTATAGAAAGAAAATATGGCATAACCATAAAATAGATTATTACTACACGCAGTGAGCACGAAGTATGACATTAAGATCTAAATTTCCCTTTCCGGAGAGCTTTATTGAATCAAAAAGTTCTACGCAAACCTTGCTCTCCTAAATTCTTTCATGAAGTGAACATATGAACAGAAGTACCTAACTGAATTATCGTATAGTTCAGTTCAGTTAAAATAAACCGCCTGAATAGTAAAATAAAGGCACACATTTAACCATTTTTATGATTTGCCATTATGTACGTTACGGGAAAATTAAGTAAGAAAAAGCAATGCCTAAATATTGACTTTTCTCTAAAAAAAGGTGTAATATTACGGCGCCAGCAAGGAAACATTCTCAAACGTCCCATAAATGAGTAGGGTTGCATAGGGTTTTTTTGCTATTAACTAAACTGCGCATTAACAGAAATTAAATCTATTTATTGGGGATAAAATCAGCATTCTCTGTAAAGACACTTAAGCTGTCCCACCATCGTGAAAATAGCAGAAAACACAGCCTCTAAACATTCCAAAGATACCCGAACGACCATAGAGGTGCGGCTGCGGAATTGTTAAACTGAAGGTATTTCATATGGCAATATACTAATATTTAAATCGTATGCACGGAGGACTAAACCCCTAAAAGAACACATCGAAAGAGTTAAACAACCCTTTTCCTTATCTCCTAAGATAAATTTACGGTTACATACTTCTGTGGGCAATGTCGTGCGGGCGACTACATCGCCCATATGGCCACATATCACCTGCTCAAAGCAAAATCCTAATAGTGACTCGAAATTAATAATTTAGTAGACTCAGTAGCCTCGACCAACTCCCGAATGAATCATTTAGACCCATTTTGTTTAAGACTTGAGATAAATATAAATAGAAAAATCTTAAAATGAGAACCCTATCTGGATCGCACAATGGATTAAAATAAACAAATTACAAAACAAAATTATTCCGAAACACATACTACGGAATATAAAGAAAAATAGGAAATAAAGAGGGCTCATTACATTTACCCCACACTCAGAGGTATTGGATCACAAATTAACGAGAAGGAACTTAAAATTATTTACAATTCTTTTTTAAATAATCCATAATCTGGTCAAAACAATGGTTGCGATAAATTGCGCACTTAACTCACACACAACCGCTGATGGTTTCTGTATTCCATCTTCTTCTGGCACACACGATAAGAAAACAAAGTGGCCAGCTGAACAGAATGACATTATTTTTTGTAGTCGAATTTAACTTTTATGTACAAAAGAACCTTTTTAGCGCATTTGCAAATTTATTTGTAGTAGCTTTTAATCTCACTCTGGCTGGTTGGCTGGATGGCCGGCTGGCTGGCAGCAAATGTGGGCGCGTAGAAGAACTCTTGTAGAAAGGCAACGGGTGTACGTGTATATACAAGGCCGTGCAATTTGTAAACCTTGGGGATAGGGCTACATGATGTGGGGTTAGCGACATCTGGGCCTCGTTCTCGAGCGTAGTATACTAACGTGAACGTTTTTCAGTTTTTTCCTATCTTCTACTACAGTTTTGGTCCGATTCTTTTCAAATTGGTGTCGTCGGAAAGATGTTGTAAACGCGCACAACTCCTGCGTGTCGGAATTTTGATTTTTGGCCTAGGGGCGAAATTAACGACCTTTTGCAAGGCGCGCGCGCGCGTCTTCGAGAGGTAGTCAACTTCGGGCACCTTTTACCTTCCGTTGCGAATTCTGTCACGCGTTTTAACGTTTCGTAAATCTCGAATCGCTGTCTCTCTTTCTCGTGTCGCCAATAGAAGCTCGAGCAATGAGAAGTGCCCCCAAAAATTAAGTACTATCTTGTGGAAGGTTTTTAGCGAGATCCACCAAAATGTGGGTGTAATATAAATATGCACCGAAAAAGGAAATTGGGTAGCCTCCGACAAGATCTAACTGATGGTGGAGAAAAATCTTCAAACGCGAATTGCGGGTGAACGGGACATCGGAAGTGGGTACCGTCAAAGGGAATGTGGTATCCTCCGACAAGATCTTTTATTCATGGTTGAATCAAAAGTGGCTAATAGAATACTGATCTGCCACACAAAAATGCGCTGAAGTCCCTT